CCGCAGCCGCTTCGATTGAACATGGTCGACAACTCTGGGACCAGGCTTTACACAAATAACCAGCTGGCTATCTACAGAGGCCATTTGGCTGCCTGCTACCCATTGATAACATCCAGTGCCCAAGGAAAGAGTGGACAGTTCCCCCTGGCAGCATTTTGTAGTAAACAGTGCCCCCTGGTGCCATTAAGAACAAAGCACACTTCTTGGGTCAAAGGAATGATAAACATCTGAGCTCTGACTTCAGTCAGGCTGTGGCTGAAGTGTTGGACACAGATTGCAGCAATGCTTCCTTTTAAATCTCACGTATTTTCTGTTGTTGTGGTTCCACATGGAGTCTCACGTCAGTCACAGTTATCTTTCTACCACAGCTGTGGTGAGTGTATTTTTTCCCCCCCTTCTGATACTTTATCAGAGCGAAAGCATGGCTTGTTAAAGCCGTGGATGTGTTTGTTTGGAGAAAGAAAGGAAAGAAATTAAGCTATTTATTGTTTGGGATCCGTAATTTTTTAAGCTTCTCAGGCGTTCCTTGTCTTTCTAGGAAAACACAATTCAGATGTAAAAACATCAATTTTTTTATACTTAAAGACTGGAAATGACCAACCTGTAAGTGGGCTTAGAAGGAGGGGGGAAAAAATTACAAAAAATACTTTAGAACATTTTAAATCCATCTTTTCTATGAGATCTATTTAATGGGATTGTTTCATTTAATTTGATAGAAAAACCAGACTAAGTCCTAATAGTGAAATTCATGGAACACACATAAATATCATCATGGGCTGCACAGTGATGCAGTGGGTACTTGCACTGCTGATTTACAGCAGGAAGGTTCTGGGTTTGACTCCCAGCCCGGGGTCTTTCTGCATGGAGTTTGCATGTTCTTCCTGTGCATGTGTGGCTTCCCTCTGGGTACTCTGGCTTCCTCCCACAGTCCAAAAACATGACTGGTAGGTTATCTGACTTCACTAAATGCTCCTGTGTGTGTCAAGGGTTGTTTGTCCTGTTTGTCACTGTGTTGCCGATGGACTGGCGATCTGTCCCGGTTGCACCCTGCCTCTCGCCCATTTCCTTGGAGATAGGCACCAACAACCCCTCAGACCCCAGCAGGGATAAGTGTGACTGAATATGGATGGATGAAACACACATGGTTTAATATATAAATTAGCATTTAAGAGGGTGCATCATACATTTCCCCCCTTCGAGAGTTAAACTTTGTGCTTGAACACCAGCAGATACATTTTTAAGGGTTATGACTCCTGGTTTTCCTTTGAGCTGGACCTCAGTCTGATTGTCTTAAATGTGTCTGTGGATTTCAGTTTTAATACGTTGCCATAGATCCCAGATTTTCCAAATACCTGAGTTTTGATAGAGACACTTTAACACATGAACATGCTGTGATCTATTACATTCAGCCGAACCTGCAGTTTCTCCAGGATTTAGATCCATTCATCTTCCCATTAGCTTCGATCAGCTTCCTCCTCAGGTTACTCAGACATCGATTGCTTTTTATGTTTGCAGTTCTGATGTAGTGTTTCCTTTGCTTGGATGACAGATTGAACGAAGCCTTGTGAGATGCTAATGGTATACATGTTGTTCATAACCCAACCCCTAAAGAAAAAACGTAAGGTCCTCAGAGATCAGGTGGATTATAAAAAATGATATTACTCACAGGGGGAGTCTATACAAGTGATTTCTGAAGCCCAGGAGATGTCTGAATACATATGCAGCGCTTTGTTTAACTGGCTCTAGAAAGCAGATTAAAACTCTAAATAGTGCATATCTGTAAAATATTAATTGAAATTTTGCCCTGAAATATTCAGTTAAGTTGATATTTTACCCTTATTTAAAAGGTTGAGCTATTTTTTTCATATTTCACAGCTGGGATGTGTTCTACTTTATTCATTTATTTATTCTTTTTTTGGAGAGTGTGACAAATTGGGGCCCTAGGCTCAGTGTTACCAGGAAGCGACATGGTGTTGCATTATTCGTGAGGACTGGAAATGTCGAGCCGTGATGCGTCGTCGACCAGCTGCAGTCAGAATGTCAAACCGTTGGAGAGCAGGACATCTCCCTCATCTAAGCCTGCACCTGTGAACAACAGGCTGAGGCACCATGTCTACAGCAGAGGTGATGTCAACAGTGCTGATAGGGGGGCTGCTTCTGGGAGATGCACATTTTCCAAGAATAAAATGAAGGGCTCATGAGGATTACCATCAGATGTATCCATGCAACTGAATTAATCAAATATTGTGCACACCTTGCACATTTTGGAATAAAATATGAAATACGAGTAAACGGAGACCTCTGGTGGTCAAACCAGCAATACAGATAGTTTAAATTGAAAAAAAAATATATCTGAATAAAGGAAAGCCATGTTTGCTTTGCTCAATTTTAGAAGCTATAAGACAATGTTTCTATGATTTAAAAACTATTTTGGAGTAGCACTAATCTCTGTTTAAGGGTTTTGTTTGGTTTAAAATGTACTGGAACAAAAAAAAAGACCCTTAAACAGAGAGTAGTGCATCCAAAGATAAAACCCTCAGACAAAATAAGGGTGGAGTGGTATATGTAGTTTAATGCAGTGAGGAATGCTCTGATCTTTGCATCAGAGAAACCAAATAACCTCTCCACAGACGCATGGCCCAACACAGAAGAGAGACCTCCTCAGGACAAGACTCTTCAGTACATCTACACCTTATGGGCAAAGGACATTTCTTTTGAGGACCTAAATGTTCACATTTTGGACAAAGAAGATATGTGGTATGAGGAGTGTGAAGGAAGCCATCTATGTTTGAAAAAAACAACAACCTTAAACAGAGGTTGATGATCTCAGGTTACGGCTTTCAAATACCTACAATTCAGCGATAGAGTTAGCCCCTTCCAGTTATCATCGCAACCCCCACCCCCACAAAGGGGACCAATATCTCGCCATCTTCAGCCAGGCCAATATTTCCCCTAATGACCCCCCTTTCAGAGATATAGTCCACTATCGGGTATTGCAGGCAAACAAAGAACCCAAACGAATCCCCATTTCCAAGGGGCGTGCCCGATCGGCCGGTTTAACTTGCATGTTTTTTAAGGTTTTTAAGTCCACTCTATAAAAGCTCGAACTCAACGCTATTTCTGACATTTTGAATTGAAAAAGCTTCCTGGATGGGAAGCGAAACGTCTTCAAACTTGGAAACAAAGTCCAGTGGATTTTTTTTTAAACCATTTTGGAATGACTATGACTTGGATGATTGAAAATCTTCACCAGCAACCCAATTAATAAAATTAACCTGAAATGTCTCTGACTTTTATTAATTTCTCTGATTTTAGAGAATTTCTTAAAATTCTCTAAAATCTTTTGGCGAATCAAAACTATTTTCTTCATATTAACCAAACTAAAATAAGTATTTTTTTCATCTAGGAAAGTTTGAAAAACAGAATGCGTCTTTTTATCCAATATAGACAAAATCAACTACTTAACTTTTCTTTTAAAGGAAGGTAACAAGGAGCTTTAAAGCAGTTTTTATCAGGTCGATCTTTAAGTTGTAAACCTTAAAAGAGCTATAAACAAAATTCCACCACTTGGAGGGGATGTTAAGCTTTTGCAGACCAAAACAAGATGTGTAACAAGCGATGTCTATCAACACCCTTTTTCTTAACCGTTTCCTTGTTTACTGATATTTGCAAAAGATAAAAACACAAGAAAACCATCACCTATCAAAGGAGAAAAGGTAAGTTACTCATAACTTGATAATGCTGAAAGCAACAATCCTCCATTTTGGCAAAGGATCATCTTCTGGTGAACATTTCAGTTCACTCCCCACCATTCAGCTCCTACACTATGCTGCCCTCTATGGGCCGGGAGGCGCTAAGCCATAAATGGAAGATATTCACAGATATGTATATCTTATGCATGCACACACAACCGCATATCTCTATTTATTGGATTGCTGATAGGCTGTTGGTAGTACACATTACTGTGAAGTCACAAACTGCCATATTGGTACTCCCTAGTTAGACCGGTAAGAATGTAAACAATATGTGCGCTACAGCATCAGACAACAATGATTTTCTCATTTTCAGGACTTCAGAGTTTTAAAACAAAGATAAAGTCATCACTTTGACTAACACTTGCTGTTTCATAGCATCTGTAGATTACTCTAACTTATGGTAAAAACTTCGCACATCACATTGCTTATTCATACTGAATAAGCAATGTGATAAGTGTTTAAAGGGAGAACAATAATACTATACTTGGATATTAAGAATATAACACGTGCAAACACACACACCATCTACTGATTAGGCAAAAAATGCTAAATTGATGATGTATATGTAATATACATTGTTATGGTAATTACATTACAGGCATTTTTATTGCACCACTCCATGAGAGTGGGGAGTACCAAGATGGCGACAGGTGACTTCAGTTTTTTTGGCCTATCAGCAATAAAGTGAATAAATAGAGATCCGTGCACACACCCAGTTCAGCTAGTTAACATAAGCTTAGAGAACAACACAGAGATGGTGCGTGGCGACACACCGTATTCCATCTAAAAGGACACCTTTAGTTCCACACACTGATTTTTAGTTCTGTATAGAAATTTTTTTTATTGCTCCTTTAAAAGAAAAATACATCTAAGGCAATGGTTAAAATAAAGGGCTAAACAAGTGAAGGATTCTAGTATCAGGAGAAATAATAAATGACATGGATGTCTAAAAAGCTGCCCGGAAGTAATGAGTGTAGTGCTGCAATGGTTCCACGCTACTCAGTTTTATTTAATAAAGAAAATAGAGGGTGGCAATTAAAAATTCTAAACTAAAAAAAATGTGATTTGCGGCTCATAAAATCCAAGAAGACAAAACAATGCCTAAGTAAATGAAAGCAGAAGAACCCATTCTATTAAATCTGGCACAGTTTGGACAGAGAGAAAATTAGGAGCATCAAATTTCATCAGAGGAAAAACCTTTTTTTTCCCCAAAGTGTAAAAAGAAAAGAACAGGTGATTTTAAACCTGGGTCTTTATGCAGTATTTATTGATTCCCAGCTTCATATAAACTGGATGTTGAGGCATAAACATTTTACATTTGAACAAAAATATAACCAATATTTACAATTATTGTATTAAAAATACAAAAAACAACCGATACATACTCCACCAATTGTCTTTTTAAAAGACATACAGGTTAAAGTAGTACAAGAAAGAATGAAGAAACGAAGGTCGTCACCAGCTAAATGTACACATCTCACTGACATCACACACCGAACGCAGTAGCAGTTCTACCTACTACACATCTTTACGCTTGTACATTTTTGTGCAACTTTTTGTTTTTCAATTTTACGACTCCACCTGCTAATATGCACATTATCTTCAGAGTTGAATGAAAGTAAATGATGCATGTCACAACGGTATCACAATTATTAACAATCTATCTGCAGCCATTACAAAAAGAAACGACAAAAGAAAAACGGTTTAGTGTGTAGTCACAGAACACAGTGAAAAACACTGCAGTCATTCATCTTTTTTACTCAGTCTGTAAGCTTCCAGGGCTGATCAATGTGATCAGTGTGATGCTGTGATAGAAGGAAACACAACGTTATTTTTCTTTTCACAATAAGATCTTTTGAAGTTAGATGATTGGCAGCTTAGAAAGACAAAATTATAATTCTACTTCATTTTTCACCTTCCTCACCGGAGTCAAAGATAAAGCAAACAAACCAAAAAATAAAAAATCCATATGTTCAGTCATTTCCACAGATACAGAGAAAAATGTTGATATACCCAGATGATGTTTGTAACAGACAAGAAATGTTTCTGAGAATCAATCAAGCAAGCACAACAGCAAAGATGGAAACAGGGTGTCCGTGTGGACATCATCTACTACACCTTAACACACCGTCGGCTGCAGCCAAATGCTGATTTCTGAAGCCACAAACCAACTAGAAATAAAAAAATAAAGAAAAAAATACAGAAAAAAAAAAAAATAAACCTTGACTTTTTCAGTCTGGTTGTATCCTTTAAAAAAAGGAGCCTGTGAAAGCATCATAAATAAGGCATTTCATCTCAGAACAGTTTGATTTGCATTGTGAATGACCGTGTAAAGACATGTTTGCAACCATGGCATCGTAAGGCGCTCGGACATTCACAGGAAGATGTTCAGCTCAAATACAAATTACTGGATGCTTTTACTATGAAGGAAATAAATACGCTCAAATGGAGTAGAAATTTAAGCAATGATGCCTTCTGAAATGTGCACCAATACCCTTGATCTTCTGTGACCTTTCATTAATTTAAAAAAAAAAACAAGCAAAAGAAAGCTGAATGTGTTTGCGGTCGTCACTTTGAACGATGAGACAAAGTCCAGGCTTTGCTTTCATTTTGGGAGACGATTGACGGAATCGTACATGGTTTCATCGAGTGTGCTTTTCACGATCTCCCAAAGGTCCAAACGTGTTGGAGCATAGAGGAGCTCAGACATAAACTATATTCTCATACCCTGGTATTCAAGCCAAACATCAAGGATTGTGCTCAAAGTGCTAGAATGAAACTTGATCAACGTTTGTACTGATAGATAAAACTTGTTTTGTTGTGTTTGTCAGTATACTGCATGATGATTCAAACGTTTTCCCTCCAAGCTTCTTGTAAATTCAAACAGAAAAGTGATAAGCATTCACGAGTGAACATGAGATAATACTGGATTCAAAGTTCAAACACTCAACAACGGGCGGGTTGTTTCAGTCCAGACTCAGAAATGTTGGGCTGACCTGGTTTCGGTTTATTCAGCCTCTAGAGTGCAATAATTTCAATAAAACTAAAGAAAATGACAAGAAAGAAAAACATAAACGGGAAGAAATCTAAAGGGAGATTAACGATGATGAAGTCAACTGCTTTTACCTTTAATAATAGTCTTATTGTTCTGAATTGTTCAGGTTTTCCTTTTTGAAAGAAGAAAACGGGAAAGTGCAGATGGAGCTGATTCTGCTGCGTTAACAGGAGGGTTTGGGGGCGTTGTCTCCCAGTTTATGCTTCTGTAGTGTTTTTTTTTTTTCTTCTTTGAAATCTGTCCAAAGTGCCAGGCATTTCGTCATTGTCTTTGACTTTCTCTCCATCTCTTCTTCACAGTATTTTTTGCATGCAGGGTCATCAAACCCCCCATGATGCTTTAAGGCAGGGGAGGGAGACGAGGAGCGAGGAGTCCACCGGTTGAGAGGGGGAGCCGACTGGAGGAGGCAGGCTACGTAACTGTTGACCAGTCTGTAGGTCTGCCTCTTTAATTCAGTCGAAGGTGGAGGGGGAGGTGGGCGGGGGGCTTCCTAGGAAACCATCCACTGCTGCTCCTCAGACTGCTGACACCTGCTCATCTGCAGAGAGGAAGACACAGAGAGGCACAGGCGGTAAATTAAAAGCAGAAGGATTTGAAAACAGGAAACAAGGTTCTGCATCAGTTGGGCTAAATTCTGCTCTGTGTTTAATCCCCTCAAAATATAGACATATAAGCATTCTACAAGGAAGGAGACACTAATATTCCCATATTTGTCAGGCTAACAGTTTTACATACAACTATTTTGTGCTTTAAAAAAAACATAATTTATATAATACTATAGCCTACACGGGGTAGGCTAATAAATAGAAGAATCAAATAGAAAAAATTGGTCTGCAGATATAAATCTATCTATTTAAATCAGCTTTTCTAAAACTGAATTTTGCATTTCTTTATATATTTGAAGGGTTTATCAGTGGTATGAAGTTCTATCATCTTTGTCCTCAAATCTCAACATTCTCTGATTTAATATCAGTTGCCTCTTTAGCAAAAAAGGTCAAAATAAAGTTAAGGATAAAGTATCACCTGCATACTGCTAAGGGTCAAGCAACATCAGAAAGCCTAAGGCTCTCACAGTGTACCCAAGTCTAAGGTTACACTTCTTTATTATTAGTATTGCACACATTTATATAATAAATAAATCCAGAGATTAAAACCAGGAACAAACACTGCTCTATAGGACGGATCGTTCTGTTTTATCTATGCAGGTTCCAGGTAGAACTTGATCTAAAAAACTTTACTTTATCGATCCTAATATGTTTAAACTGCATTTTAAAGAAAAATACTTTTTGTTTTTGTAGTTTTGATCTAATTCCTGGCTGCTCTTTCATCAAGTTACCTGTTTTTGATTCTGTATATTTCACTTTATGAATATTTAATCACTTTTACTTTAAATGTGAAAATTCTGCCTAATATATACCAGTGCGCATTTTGAATTGCCTTATGTAATATTTTCAATCCTGTTATCATGAAGACGGCCTCCTGGGCTCTCTAAGTTATTCATATTTTTTATGACCTGACCAGTTGTTTTCTGAACGATTTCCTAAGTATGTAAAGATTTGTCTTTGTGTTTTTGTTAAATCGAAAGCTTTAACAGTTATTCCATTTTTACATTAAAAACTTATAAATCTGTTAATTTTTTCCTATGGAATGAAAAATGTTAAAGTGATAAAGCTTCGTTAAGAAGCCTGGTTCTCTAACAGTTTCAGATCTGCAGGGTCAACATCGGCTTTTTAAGCCAACCGCCTGCAGCTTAACACAAGAAAAAAGGAGGCTGTTGTTTTAGTGCCACCAAGTGGAAGCAGGAAGGTACAACAGGTACCTTTTAATAAAATTTTTACTGCATAAACTCACAGCCTCTCTGTAACGTTTAACCAAATGACACATATTTTGAAATATACATAAAAAATGAAAACAAACTTTGTTAACGCTGGGACAAGAGAGAGGAGGTGAAGGTTTCTGCAGTTGTTTGAAAGGTGTAAAGAACTGACTGCTATCAAACTGTTGTTGGAGTGAGAAGAGAGTGAGAAGAGGAGGGAGCTGCTGCAGGGAAGCAGTGAGGAACCAGGCGGTCAGCAGGAATCATGCAGGAAGTCGTGTTGTGACGTTTAGATCTTGCAGTGGGACGAGGAGGGAGGGGGTCACTGTGTGGTCAGTTTCAGTCCTGGTGTTTGTATTTGTTCACATGCAGGTTTCACTGAGGATAAAGTTGTTACCTGCCTGGTGGGGGGTGGGGGCCTGTTAACCCCACACACTCTCACCGTCTGGGAGGCTCAGGTGTATGCTGTGCCAATGGTTTCCTCAGAGCCACTAGTTTTGGAGACAAGGACTCACCCTCCTCTTCATCCTCTGGCTCCTGCTCGTCCGCTGAGGAGCGGGTGCGGCGGAGGCTTCCCCCCCGACGCTTTGCGGCCTGATGGGCCTGATGAGAGTCAGGCGACTGGGTGACCATGCGTGAGCGCTGCAGCGCCGTGGTGTAGTCTGGTGGTCGGCGGCTCGCTGCGGACGTGGGGGCAGGCGGCGCCGGGTGCTGGCCCTCGGCCAGGTCAGAAATGGTGAGAGCGGTGTAGCCAGGAGGAGTCGGCGGAGGCTCGCGGTAACGGCCCTCCTTTCGAGCTGCACACAAGAGAGCATTGATACCTGTTAGTACGAGCTGTAGATGTATACTTTTAGAGTATTAGTGAGTATCACATAAATCACACATAGATCTACAGACAGACTTATTTTGGATTTCTCTATATTTAAATGCCTAGTGAGTGGTTTGACAGGTGCAGCCCAGTCTATGAGTTTATTATTTATTCCAGCCAATTAGATACCAACACACAGAGGTTCATTGCAGACACAGCAAAAAGCAGCAGCCTTTTCAGTTAAAGGCAGATCCCCCGGGAGACGGAGCTCCTCCCTGCCTACAGCTCTCAACATCTACAACCAGTTAAAAAAAAAACAAAAAGAAAAAAAACCCTTTACTTCCCTTTGGGATAATTTTTTTTTTTTATGAATTGCTGCATTTATTTATGCTCATTTGAACAATTACTGTAAAACATCACATCGTTATGAAGGTAGGTGTTAGAACTGTAGTTGTATTTGACATGCAGATTTAACCTGGACCTACTAATTCCATCCACACAAAGGATAAGCCGCTAAAGATCATTGTTAAAAAAGTGGCACATTAACAGAAAGTTTGATGAAAGGAAAAAAACATGTGGTAAACTTTGGCTATGCAAACTGGGATAATGAGTCTTGAAGCGATTTTTATGTGAAGAAAACTTTGTATCAATTTGACGGTATGATCTGGTTGAACTGTAAAGTACCTTGAGATGACATGTGTTGTGAATTTGGCGCTATATAAATTAACTGAATTGAATTGAATAGATGGCTGCTGTTCTTTCTCCTTTCTTTGTACGCTGTGGAAAGGAAGCTTCAGGGATGGTTTTAACTGAGTACAACTGAACCCAGGCTTTATTTTGGTTTGCTGGATTCCAGCTGTATTATTATACAGTTCTGCTGTATTTTCAGGGGTGCAGGGCCAAGCACCACTACATTTGTACATCCCACTACGATACATTTTGTCCCTTATACTGACATTATGATCTCTTTTTATTTTTGAATGCTAGTAAATGTACGGACCTATTCTGAGAGGATCTATAAATAAAAGCATGCAGGCTGTGGAGGTGGGAGAAGAATTGGCTGGCTTTCCCGGCATCCTATTTGTTAAAGATCAGCTTAGCAGTCAAACAGCGACTAACAAATATAAACACATCCTACACTCTTTACCTCCACAGTTCTTGTTGTGATCTTAAACTCAGGACTAAATAGTTTTGAATTCAACTTTGGTTTATTTTTCTCTACACTTGCTTGATTTCTCTCACTTTTAATTCTTTATAGTTCTCTCATCAATCAATGGATGTGTTTTGCTATGTTCCCCTGTCTGTTTCCTTGATTTGATGTGTGTCCCAGGTGGCTAAATGTGTTTTGTGTTGTTTTTATGCTCTGGAAGCATTTGTTACCTGACTGTATAAAAAGTTCTCTACAAACAAAGTTTGACAGACAGGACAAGAAACAACACTCACAAATAAAGCCTTTACCCCCTGTTGGGATGGGTGATGGAGACGGCCGGCCGAGCTGCTTGGCCTCCTCTGACCCGGTGGATGTGATGCTACTTGTCTCTGGGTCAGCATTTACATCCTTTCCTCCTCTCCTCTTAATCGTTCCGGTGTCTCCCTCTGATTCTTCCCCCCAGTATGCGGCCGAGGATGAAGAGGAGCTGGCTGATGCCCAGCTTCCCCTGGTCTGCGCTGCCCACAGAGCAGCAGGACCCCCTAATAAGGCCTCTGATGCTGAAGACAGCCCTCCAATGCCAATCTCCCAGCTACGTCCCTGCTGCATGTTCTGAATGTTGTCATGGGAACCAGAGGAACAGGAAGTCCAGGAGCCTCGCCCGCTGTCTGCAGCATCCAGGGACACGCGATCTCCCTGATCCTGAGTCAGTTCCTCGGAGCTGGGCGAGGAGAGTACGGTGGTGCAGCCGCCATAAATACCTCGACAGTCTTGCATCGAGGAATACGACCTGTGATAAAAACGAAAAGAGACATTTTAAAAACTATACATTTAAGAACTTTGCTTATATTTCTAGGTTTCTCTATCCTACCCCAGACTGTACTGGTCAGGGTCGGTTGTAGCCCTTCTTTCCAGCCGAGCCCCACCTATGTGGGATTCACCAACTCCTCCAGAGTGACGCAGTCTCCTCTCCTCCTGGGCCATGTCGAAAGACGAGTTACTGACGAGACTGGAGCGAGACGAGATCTCGCTGTGACCAGAGTCTGAGTAGGCGTCGCCCATCCTACCGTAACCTGGAAGAAGGACACAGACAGGCTAAAATTTGGCTCATTTGAATCTTTACTTTTACAGACAGATCTCTAAACCTGTGTGACTATCAGCTTAGATAGATTAGCTATATCTTATGTTTTAGATGTGAAATATCCAATGAGAATATTCTAATACATTGTAAGGAAAGTGTATTTGTGAACCAAAACACATTTTTTCTATCTTTTAATGGAGGACTGAAGCAAACCTAAAGTTTTTAGGCAGAGTTGGGGTGCAGTACTGTTAAATGTAATAGTTATTTAGTGTGGTATGATGCTAAAAAATGTAGGTCTGCCTTTATCTGATAACATGGAGGATTTTCTGTGATAGGGGAGATAGAGCTGTAATATGTTCTGATTTTGAGAAATATTTGTTCTACTGTAGTACATATTTTATTCCAAAGAAGTTTTGGTTAATTTATCCTCAGCATCTGATCCTCAGCATCTGATCGATGCTGCTGCTGCTGTAGAAGCACATCAACTAAGACACGTGTCTCTGATGTAGTAAAAATGATCCAGTTTATTCCTTCAGTGTCACAAACATTTTAGTTTAAGTAACTTTGCAGGAAGACATCTTAACATAAAAGACACTGTAAGAAAACAGTGTGGCTCCACAGCCAATGTAACATCCATCTCCAGTCAACGGACACCTGGTTATCCTTTCATCTGTGTTAAATATTAAACTCAACCGACACATATGAAACTAAAATGTCCAAGATAAATAATTATTTACTTTCTAATATAATAAGAATCAAGACAAAGACACATTTTAAGATAGTGCAAAACATGAAAATAAATACTGAATGACTTTGCCTTATACAGGTGCGTCTCTAATTAAACAACGAAAAAGGTTTTATGATCCAAGCTATTCTTAAGCCAAAAGCTTAAGAATAGCTTTACGTTTTTCTATCTGTATTATCTGAAATATTGGCATATGACATTTTAAAAGACTAACTGACTAAAGGAAAACTGTCTAAACTTAAAAAGGATATATGTGAAGAAATTAAGTTGAGTTGTTTTTATTTTTTAAAACCTTTTTTGTTAAATTTCTGGTAAACCAAAATAAAGGGATCAGAAATAACTACCGCTATAAATCATTACAGTTGGTGGCCACCAGGTGGCATAAGCAGCACTCAGTGACAGAGAAAGAGCTCTAAGCGGGAGGATTACTGGCTTACCCTTCTTGGGTGAGCTCTGAGGGGAAGTGGGAGGAGAGGAGAGGTGGGAGGAGGCGTTGGACATGGTGTCCTCTGGCTGCCTCCGGTGCCTTTCGTTCCCCTCCTCAGACAGAGACAGGATCTTCTTCAGAGACTGGGGCGAACTGGTGCCTGTAGACATTTCCAGCAAAACAAGCATAATTAGCTCGAGGAACGCTACAGTCTCCCATGTGGGGGGTGGATGCCAGGCTGCATTGTCTGGATGTTCTACTTTTTCTTTATTTGGCTGCAGCCTCTAGGTGGCAGCATTGCTACAGAGAAGAAACTGCTCCTTGAAGTTTGTAAACAGCTCAAGGAAGAAAAACAAAACAATGCAGAAGTAGCTTAAAGAGACTGAAAGGAAATAAGCACTTAAAAAAATAATAACTTCCTAATAAATAAAATTGATTTTTTTTCCATACTGCAGCTACATTTCTATTAACATATCCTACAACCAAACTGAGAGATTTTTATCCATAAGTTTCTAACCAAAAGGTGGCAGATCCTTGACCGGCACCCTCTTCCGGGACGGGTAGAGGGCCACACTGGGGACTTGCAGGGCTTGGTTTCCTTTGGCCAATTGGCCCCGTTGCTGACTGGCTGCTCTGGATACGACTGGAGAAGTGTCTGGTCGTTTCCCACCAGCAGTCTTGGGTACTACGAAAAATGTACAAACAGGAGTTAATAAAAAAAAAAAAAAAATCTGAATTGGGCAAAAGTTTAAGAAAACAACTATTGATGACAACCAGAGTCATTTTATCCCGGCATCAACAGCAACAAAAGTAAACTGAGCAAATTAACTAATAGTGTTAATTTCTGGGTCAGCCTTTGTGATGTAAATTGTCTAGATAGGTCTAAGTTTTTCATTGCTATTGCTATGTTTGAGCTCTAAAATCTATAAAACTTGAACATAATTTCATCATAATCTGCCTTCCTTTACCTGAATACATTAACCTACAAATGTTCACATTTCACAAAAAAATCATAAGGTCCTGCAAAAAGAAGAATTTAGCAAACATAAAAATTCTACAAAATGCTTAAATTACAAGAAAATCGAGAGCAACAATGTGGAAACATGATGCAAATAAAAAAGAAAAACATAAAACACACCTAAACAGAGGCATGCTGGAAATAAGAACAACAGCAATTTAAGAAAAGCTGCAATAACAGAGTTCTTCCAGACCACTAGGGGGAAACAATCATCAGCTCATATGGGACCAGATCATAGACATTACCATAAATAATCATCTATGGTGCAGACCCTTGGCAAAAACATAACTTCATAACTTGAAGGCCATGCTGAGGACATTTGCAGCAGGTTTTCACTTTGCTGCTCTGTATTTTTTTGTAACTGCAGCTTTTTTTCGTTGCTCCAGGACCTTTTCAGGACCTTTATGCTGTGATGTTGTGAAATCATATAAATATGGCCATCATCATCATCTGATCTTTCAAAAATTCGGGTCATACTCTCAGCAGCCATTGAGTCACTTCTCTAAATTTATTTTTAATTTTAACATATTTCATACTTTAAAAAAATATATGTACAACGATCTACAAGCCAGATCAGAACTGAAATCCAAAAAGTAGTAAATGCAACTGTATAAGGGTTTAAATTTACAATAATAGCTAAACATGCCTGAGCATAGAGAAAGTTTTGATGCCATATTTAGAGAGTAGCTGCACTCACATGTGCTGATTGAGGGTTCACACTGTAGTGAGAACGTTTGAAGGCTCTCCTCGTTCGTCTCAAGGCTCAGGTTGGAAAGGTACTGCTTGACCTTTCTGGCCATCTGGGCGTCCTCATAGAGCTTTTTGGCGTTCAGGAAGGAGCTACGTCGAACCCGCTTCTTGTGCCCGCCTGTCTGGCTTACGTCGAGCACGGCTGCATTGGCGCTGCCCTGACTCAAAGACCTGGTCAGGTACGCATAAGTGTAAACACAACAAAAATCAGAAAGGGAAAGTGAATTCAGGCTATAGATAGAAATCTACAGAAATGACCAATAAAATTCCTTAAAATAGCCGATTAGACTGTTAAAGTCTAGGGGGTTATACAGGGAGCATGGTGTTTAAACTGAAACATGCAGAAAGCAGCTTTAGGTTTTTTTCTCTACTTGAAAACATTCCAGTCATTCCAGGAAGAGTGGGGGAGGTGAGAGCTGACAGCTGGAGTTAAACAACGCTGGAACAGAGAGGGCGACTACTGTAGCAAAGTCATAGTTTACATTTCTGTGGTTTGAGTCAGAGCTCGTAGTAAATCGTAGTAAGAGCTTTTGCTTGTGGTCTCTGACAAAAAAACTCCTGACAACTGCTTGTGGTCTTAACCTAAAGCCACATTTGGTCCTGTTAGCGGACAAAAAATGAAACAAGTTGCACTCAAACATTTTAAATCAACTATTTGCTTTCTCTAAAATTCCTTTTTCTTTTCAGAGGATTTTATCATTGGAAAAAAAATGCTTATAATTAACATATAAAAAGTGTCTTTTACAAAACATGGATGACTAAATGTGCTGCAATATGTTACAGATTACTTGTTCTGTAATGCACCTGTCACACCTTGATGATTTAGACTAGCATATGCCTGATGTATGGAAAATCTTGCAAAAACGCTAGCATACGTTGGATAAGTGCGTATGTTTTGTATAAGTTCTAAGCACGCTGAAACACGCTGGCATACATCGACATACGACATACTCGGCGTACATCAACGTGTGGTATAAGCTACAGGTAAGTTGTGACCGTTAACATACGTAAATGTAAGTTACTCATAAGTCATGGTGTCTAGCTTATCCAAAACCTATGCGTAACTTATCAAGAAACCGTCAGTACTCCTCCAGACTTCATTCCATCATAGGGTGAGCCTGAAGGTGAGTGTGATGGATCCTACCTGCGTTCACGCCCACGACCAACAAACTTCCTAGCAGACATGACAATGAATCTGCTGCGACTGCAAACCTTGTTTCTTTTTCTTTATTTCTTCTCTTTTTTTTTTGGCGGGCGGTACAGAGCAGCTAGGTTAATACTGTGATCAAAGAAATCTTTTTATGTAGGCTGGGCATATCGCAGCCCCCTTCAGGACACTGGCTTGTGCATCATTTCATGGGCATTATGCTGCTGTGCGTTAAGCATAAGTTAGGCTGTCGTTGGACATATGCTCTGGAATCGTTATAATCTATGTATACGCCCAAAATAAAATAAAAAATACATAGAAAGTTCAGCGTATGCCAGTGTTTTAGAAGATTCTGGGACGTCAGGCATACGCTGGCTAAATCAGCAAGGTGTGACAGGGCCCTAAGTACTAAAATGTGTGATTTGACCACAAGAATGCAAAGAATTAAAACAATATATGAATACATATCTATACTGAAAATTCGTTAAGGGCAATTCTGATAGATGAAAAAAAAAATTCCAAAACTGGGACTGCATGCAGTTTGTTGAAAACAACATAAAACTGAAGGTGACATTTGCTAATGAAAGCCCAGCAGTGACCAGAGTGACCTTTACTTGGCAAATGTGGCCTTTGTTACAGTCAGTACATTCAGTATCCTGAGGTTAGTGTCAAGCAGATTTAGTGAGAGGAACTCAAGGTGGTTAGAAAAGGAAGGTTTAAGAAAAGAGGCAAAGCAGAACAAACGTTGGCAGATAGACATGGCCACAGTGCAGAGAGGGATAAAGATTTGGTCGCCAAACTTACCCTAAACTTCTCCATTTCTTCTTCCTAGAGGACGGGGTGCCACAAACAAGAGAAGCATGGATGGGGAGGGGGGGCAAAGGGTATATGAGCAAAGAGAAAGACAGGAGACAAAGCTTAGGACAGGAAAGACCACCAAGATCACCAAAGAGAAGCGATTACACCACACCCACATGAAAGTCAGCAGACAGGATATCGAGTGGCAACGCTTTAGAGGACATCATTAAACAAAGGCTTGGTTTCACTGAGCAATTTTTAACGCCAACAGTGTGTTTAAAGAAACAGTTGCTTGAAAAAAACAATTGCCAAAAAAGAACAGCTGCTGGAGAAGCGTGATGCAGAAACTTGACTGAATCTAAATGGACTGGCTGACCCCACAGAACAGGTTAGTCAGTGGAGTGCTGGCTGCCCCTAAAGGGGAGGGGAGGGCTTCTGGATTATTCCTACATCGGATCTTCTATATGTATCCTTACCTGGTTCGAAACATGAGGGCTGGATCCATATTGACGGAAGCCATGCGTCCAACGTGTCGGATTTCTTTGGCAATCATCCTAAGCTTCTCGAAGTTCACCAGGCCGTCCACTTTGGAGTCATTGCCTGTAAATTTAGAGCATTAAATGTATTTCAACTCTTAAAGAATAAAAAGTGAAACATTCCTCTAGAGAGAAAGAAACTAAAGCTAAGGTTAGCAACTGCTGTTAGCTTAAAAAAAATAAGTTTCCTTTTTTTATTTTAGTTTTGTAAATGTAAACTCATTTCTAATTCAACTGTACTACAGTAGAAGTTAACTGCTTAATAAGAAAAACGAAACAAGAAAATATTAAGTTTAATATAAATTTTATTAAAATTTGAGTTAAATTAGAGATGAATGTATTTTCTTATGCTGTTTTGAAAAGATAAAAATGACAAAGTTGTGTTTCATTTTAACAGAAAATCTGTCTTTATAATTATATTTAAAATGTCTTTAAAATTATATAATTATAAAATAGATAATAAAAATTGTATTTAAAACGAAAGTTACGTATGTAACTACGGTTCTATGAATCCCGGATGACCGCCAGAGGGCGGTGCTGAAAGCACTGAATGTTCCCTTCGGGCATGCGCAGTTCGAGTAATTATACCAACAGAGTCACACCTGTGACACCGGATGACCACTCAGAAGCTATATAGCCTGGTGTCATCCTTTGCTCTGCTCCTACAGAATCTTCTCGCAAAAGCAAGGATTCTGAGTGACAGAGAAGCTCTGGCGGTCATCCGGGATTCATAGAACCGTAGTTACATACGTAACTTTCGTTCTATTTCATCCCTACTGACCGCCAGAGGGCGGTGCTGAAAGCACTGAATGACTAATGCCAACAATGTCACAAGGAATCCTGAGCACATACCTCACAGAGGAGGCCCAGCAGAACCTTGTAAAAGGACCTGACCCAGGGGATGAGGGGCAGCCACATTGACACTGTAGAACCTGGTGAAGGTGGTTGGGGAAGCCCATGAAGCAGCAGCACATATAGCTTCCAGCGGAACCCCTCTCAAAGCAGCCCAGGAAGCGGTGACGCTCCTGGTGGAATGTGCTCTCACACCGACTGGCAGGGAGCAGTGACCTGCAGCGTAGGCGTGGCAGATGACACTCACAATCCAATGGGACAGACGCTGTTTAGAAAGAGGACAGCCTAACCTTGGACCCCCATAGCATAGGAAAAGCTGGTCCGAGCGTCTCAGATTGGCGGTGGCTGCAATGTATGCCTCCAACGCTCTTACTGGGCACAACAACTCAGACTCATTCTCAGTTGTACCAGATTGAGGCTGAAACCGAGCGAGCCGCAATGGCTGGTTACGGTGAAAAGGAGACAACACCTTAGGCACAAACGCAGTATTAGGCCACAGGGTAACACCAGAGCCATCTGGATTCCACCTGATACACCTAGGGCTGACAGAAAGAGCATGTAGCTCGCTGACCCTCTTAGCTGAGACGATAGCCATCAGGAAAGCAGTCTTGCAGGAAAGCCACTTGAGTTCTGCTTGTGCCAAAGGCTCGAATGGAGGGTGGCACAGAGCTGTGAGAACCAATGGCAGATCCCAATCTGGGGCTCGTGGGGCTGGCCGCTGGCACAACCTACGAGCACCACGCAGAAAAAGTGAAACCAGTTCATGGCGCCCCACTGTACGGTTGTCAACAGTTCGGTGAAGACATGAAATTGCTGCAACATACACTTTAAGGGTCGAAGGAGAGCGGCCCTTATCAAGGAGAGACTGGAGGAACTCCAAAATAGTGGGCACCGAGCAGGAAAGCGGGTTCTCATTGTGGGCAGAGCACCACTGAGAAAAGAGGCGCCATCTGTTAGCATACTGCAGCCGAGTGGAGGAAGCCCTAGCACTCAATACGGTGTGTCTCACGGTGTCTGAACACCCAGTCAGCCTCCCAGGGGCCATGCCCACAGCTGGAGACGTTGAGGGTTGGGGTGCCATATCTGTCCCCCCAACTGAGACAGCAGATCCCTCCTTGCTGGAAGACGCCATGGAGTACCGTGACACAGACTCCAAAGCAGCGGGAACCACGGCCGCGCTGGCCAGAACGGAGCTACCAGCAACACTCTGTGGCCCTGCTCGAGAACCCTCCGTAGAGTCGGCCAAACCAGTGAGAGGGGTGGAAAGGCATACAGGAGAACCTGCGGCCATGGATGAGCCAGTGCATCCTGGCCCAGTGCGCCCGCCATCCCGGTTAGGGAATACCATAGGGGGCAATGGGTCGACTCCTCTGTGGCGAACAGATCTACCTCTGCCTGCCCAAAGAGGTTCCAGATTATGCGCACTACGTCGGGGTGAAGAGACCACTCTCCCGGAGCAGGTGCCTGGCGGGATAGAGAGTCCGCAACCTGGTTCTGCCGTCCTGGCAGATACGCTGCGCGCAGGGTACACAGACGGGGATACGCCCATTCCAGGAGATCCCTCGACACCTTCAAGAGACGTGCTGACCTGGTGCCACCTTGGTGGTTTATATGATAAACAACAGAGGTGTTGTCTGTCCGAATCAGCACGTTCCTTCCCTCTAGGTGGGGCAGAAGGCACCTGAGGGCCATGTGCACAGCCCGCAGCTCCAGCACATTTATGTGTTCGGTGCGCTCCCTTGGGTCCCAGAGACCCCAAACAGCTCTGTGTTGCCACACGGCACCCCAGCCCATGAGGCTGGCATCCGTGGTGACCACCTCCCTTCGACACACTACTAGCCCCATTGGAACACCACTGGACAAAAGGGTCCCGTCTCGCCAAGGAGCTAAGGCATGGAGGCAGCTCCTGGTCACCATTAGCCTGCGATGCCTGTGCAGCCTGGCGTCTAGGCGAAAGCTGTTGAGCCATCGCTGCAAAGGACGCAGAAGGAGCAGCCCTAAGGGCACGACACGAGTGACTGATGTCAGTTTGCCCAGCATTCGCAGGAAGGTGATGTAGGGAAACTCCCTGCCCAGTCTGAATCGACGGACAAGCTGGAGTATGTCGTCCACCCTGTGAACAGATGGACGGGCCATCATGGTAGCAGAGTCCAGATGCATCCCAAGAAAGGTGGTTGTCTGAGATGGAACCAGACAACTCTTTGCCAAGTTGACTTTGAGGCCTAACATTGACACATGAAGTAGAAGCTGGGACGTATCCCGAGAGGCAGCTACCTGAGAGGGAGCACAAAGAAGCCAATCGTCCAGGTATGGCAGAATCCTGACTCCGGAGGCCTGTAGAGGAGAGAGGGCTGCTTTCACGCATCGAGTAAACACCCTCGGGGAAAGGGAGAGCCCGAATGGGAGCACCCGGAATTGCCAATGGCGCCCCCGATAGGCGAACCTGAGAAAACGGCGATGTTCTGCCGCAATAGGCACGTGAAAGTAGGCGTCTGTCAGATCTACTGATGTAAACCAATCTCCCGCCACAATGGTCTGAAGGACCTCTGTAATGGTGAGCATGTGGAAGGGAAGGACCTTCAGGTACCGATTCAGTCCCCTTAGATCTAAAATGGGGCGAAAACCGCCGGTCTTCTTGGCCACAAGGAAGTATGTGGAGTAGTAGCCTCTGGGTTGCTGCAGAGGATCTACAGACTCGATTGCCCCCTTGCCCAGGAGGGCGGAAAGCTCCTGGTCTAGCGCCTGAGATTTCACCGGGTCTGTGAAGACAGTCATCTTGACCCGGTGTGAGAGGGGGGGCCGCCGTCGGAACTGGAGCCTGTAGCCATTGGTTAAGGTGGCAACCACCCATGGATCTACGGCATGAGCAGCCCAGAAATTCAGCTGCTGATGGGAAAAATGTCCGACGGCTGGCCCGGTGGCATCATCTTCTATCCCCACGGCCCCTGGGGGCTCTGGGGGGAGGGCGTCCAGGATTTGAGGCCCGGATCTGTCTAACAGGGCGGCAGACTGGCTCACGAAAGTCCCTTCTCGGTCTCTGCCGCACATCATGGGGATAGGAACCAACAGGTCTGCCACCGGTCTGAGGTCGTGGCTGAACGCTGGGGGTAGTGGCAGGGCGGCCCGAACGCTGGGGAAAGGCAGGTATGCTCCTGGGAAGGCCGGAAAGCTGCTGGCTAGTCTGACGTGCCTGAGCAGTCCGTTCCAGCGCCTCCAAGGCAGCGCCTCCAAGGCAGCTGATCCAAACAGCTCCCCTGGTACAACCGGGACACCCCTGAGGGTCCTACGGCATGCTTCAGTCAGAGGAGACTGTGCCAACCAGACCTGTCTACGAGCTTGGACAAGGAAAGACATGACCCGTCCAAGCTCTCTCATCATGTCATCAGCGCGAAGGCCTGCAGCGCTGCGTCACTATAACCAATCGCCGCACTTGCACCACCAGTGTCCTGAACAGATGCAGACAGGGCAAACATGAGGTGCGCCAGGGAATTGCCAAGGCGGCCAGCACGCGCTCCTGCATTGTACGCCTTACAGAGGAGGTCATCTGTAACCCGACATTGAGTCCGCGGGCACCGGACATCAGGACGCAGGGCTTCATCTGGTGACACAATCAGTGAAGCAACAGCTGGTTCAATTGCTGGCATACGGTCCAGGCCGGCCTTCACTGACTCATGCATGGCAGCTAATACACGACCATCCGAGGAGAGACGCGACAGCGCTCTCGGTTCCCGCCAACAGGCGTGTAACTCCTTCAGGTACTCCTCTGATGGAGGTACAGAAAAAGGAGTAGGAGCCCTTCCACGTCTGAAAAAAGCACTGCCAGAGCTGGGTGCCTCTCCTTGTGGGAGTTCCAGCTGCAGCTGCTTCAGGGCCATAGACATGACCTCCCGCATGGAACCGTCACCGGCCTCTCCAACCGCACTCTGAGATGAAAATGAACCAGCCTCAGAGGCTTGAGAGGACCCTGCCTCCTCCTCATCTCTAAAATGAGAAGCGGAAGCAGCCAGAGAGATAACGTCATCCTCTACAACCAGCTCGGGCATTGGTGGGGAAGAGAGCCCAACCACTGGGAGCGAGGGATCAGATTGCCGTGTCTGCAACAAGGACTTCATCTCTGCCAGCTCTGCTGACAACTGCTCCACCCTTGTGGACAGGCCCTGGTCAGGTTTGGCCCGCTTCCTCCGGGGGAGGGGCACAAATGCTGTGGTCCCACCACGGCGCTTAGAACGCTTGGGGGGAACCACCTGCCCAGAGGGCGGAAGGTCCGAGCCCTCCTGGGGGCACAACTGGGCCAACCGGGCCACCCTCACTGCATGGGGCATAAAGCTGCAGTTCATACAGGGGTTCTCAGACAGCGCCTCCAAAAGGTGCTCATGTCCAAGGCAGGTAGGGCACAGGTCGTGGCCATCCTCTGCCTGCAGGGCAGCCCCACAATCTATGCAGCTGTGAGAGCCATCCATGTCGAAGGCCGACAAGGCTTAAAGAACAGAAAGTTATCGAAAATCGGGAGAGGGGGCGCAAACGCAGCCGTCACCAATTACAGCAGAGAAACGAAAGAGGCTGCGAGCACAAGGCAGCCGATACTGGGAGAGGGGGCGAGAACCGCTACCGTCACCAGGTATAAAACCAATAAACCAAAAAAGCTAACAACGTTAGCTGTATGGAAACTTAAGTTGGAAGTAGGAGCGAACAACGCTGCCGTCACCAATTATAGCGGATAAAACAAGAGAGGCTGCGGACACAAGGCGGCCGATACCGGGAGAGGGGGCGAGAACCGCTACCGTCACCAGGTATAAAAGCAATAAACAAAAAAAGCTAACAACGTTAGCTGTATGGCAACTTAAGTAGGGAGTAGGAGCGATAAACGCTGCCGTCACCAATTAAGAGAGCAGACCAACGAAAAGGCTGCAAAAAAGGTTGATATTGGGAGAGGGGGCGAAAACGCTGCCGTCACCATTTATAATTAAGCAGACCGATGAAGAAGGCTGCAAACAAACCAAAAAAGGCTAACAACGTTAGCCGTCTCCAACTTCGGCAACGAAGTAGACCACACTTGGTTGGGAAAGGGGGCGAAAACCGCGGCCGTCAGTAATTATAGCAGCGCAGACCGGTGAAAAAAAGGATGCAAAAGTAGGGAATATACTGGGAGAGGGGGCGAAAACCGCTGCCGTCACCAGGTATAACACCAACAAACTAAAGAAGCTAACTACGTTAGCCGTATATAACTTCGGCAGTGAAGTTATTCACACTGGGAGTAGGGGCGAAAACGCTGCCGTCACCAGTTCGGAACAAAGCAGCACGAAGCTGTAGGTAAAAAGCTAAAGTCGTGAGCCGGCAGAGGGGGCGCGGACGCTACCATCACCAGCAAACAACTCACTTACCTTCCGTAATCTTCAGAATCGACCCGTTGCAGCCCTGGGAGGGCGGAGAATAACCGCAACTCCGGTCAAGAGACGGGCTTCAGACAACGGGGAAGTTAGCGAACCGCTTGCGAGAAGAAAAAAGGAGCAGAGCAAAGGATGACACCAGGCTATATAGCTTCTGAGTGGTCATCCGGTGTCACAGGTGTGACTCTGTTGGTATAATTACTCGAACTGCGCATGCCCGAAGGGAACATTCAGTGCTTTCAGCACCGCCCTCTGGCGGTCAGTAGGGATGAAATAGAACTAATTCTTCTTCTACTTCTACTGTCAAATGTAACACCATCTGCTTGTTTATTCCAACTTGGCAATATTTTGTTAATGATTAAAAAAAAATGTTGCTGCTTAAAATATATATCAAATATTTCTTGTTAATATAAACAAGAGTCAGTTCTTTATATCAAAACTTTTACAATTTTGGCATATTCTCCAAAAAAACAAAGATGTATGAAAGACTCAGTTTCACTGATAAATCAATAGATACCAATCTTGCAGATCTTTTACTTATTTTTTGATAATTAAATATTGAAATCAATAATTTAAAGTCCAACCAATTAATAAAGTCTAACTAATCTGTAGCTTATCAGCTATTGTCATGATGTGACTAACTTCATTACAGTTGATTGGCCTGAAGGAGGATTAAATCAAAAGCAGTGTTCCTGTCACATACCTTCATGTAGGAAGGTCAGGTCCTTCTTTATAACTGGGAACAGGGGGATGATAGGTGGCTGAAGGTTTTGATTGTTAAGAACATTTCTGTACTTGGCCATATTTCTAGAGGGGTCGAAGAGATCCTGCAAATCCCCGAAGAGTTTCTCATATTTGCTTGGTAGTTTTTCCCATGTTCCTCTTAGTCTGGAGACTGGAGCCAAGTTTAGACCACTGAGAAGAGAACCACAGGTAGATGAAAACAGATTTTTTTGTGTGCATGTGAATTGTGTTTTCTACCAGCATAGAATACTGTGTACTAAGAGAAAACGTAATACAGTAAAGAATACAATAAAGGTTTAAGTAGCAAGTAATTAATATATTGTGTTTTGTCTAACCTGATGATTGCAAACATGGAGTTGAAGTTCTTGCATTCTCGACAATGTAGAGCGATCTTGATGAAATGCTTAATGATCTTCATGCGCTTGAGCTGGTTGGCCTCCCGCACCACCTCCGTTGCCACCCAGAAGGTCTCCTGGTTGATTGACTCCTCGAAACGCTTGAGGCTGAGGGAGCCGGTCTTTGAGCGCCGCTTGAACAGATCGTCGATGTATTCGGTGGGTTCAATGGCACAGAAGAGTTCAAAGGCTCTCATGGAGAGCTGGGTTGCCACCTCCACGGTGCTGAGCTGTAGCAGAGAGATCTGGCCTTCTCGAAGGAGGTCCTGGGCATCTTCATCGGAACATAATGTTTCTGTCTCCATGTTGCTCTTCAGGTAATATCTAGTTGAATAAATTAGATAATTTAGACGTTTTTTTAATCAATTGAAGAAAACAAAATTGAAATGTTAAAGATTGCCAACTTAAGAAAACCTACATAAAGGAAAAAGTCTCTGAAATTTGGAAACAATTGCCTCTCAATTTACAGAAATGTATTAATAAAAGAAAGTATATATGCTTAGGTGCTCCTTGTTTAGCTAAAATATCCCTTTAGGAGTGTAAACATAACCTGGGCTAAAAATGTCAAAACATTAAAGAACAGGAAAGTTTTCTTGTGCGTTACTTTTTAGATTTTAAACATTCTTACCTGCCACTGAGCTGAATCCTGTCGGCTAGCTTGGAAAGCTGATCTGGTAACCTCCTCTGTTTAATGACGCCCTCAGGTGTGACAGACACTTCACATAGCGAATAAGCCTCGGGCGCAGCAGTCAGGGCAAACTCCCTAATAGCCTGGGCCACCACTTCTTTCGCTGTTGTATCCTTCCCAATCATAATATATCGAGACTGCTGGTCCGCTTTGAATACTCGTAACACTTGGTCCGACATATCTGGGGAGATACATTTAGATTTATAGGCAAAATTATATATAATTCTGACTTAAAATAAAGATAGAAATACAACAAAACACCTTTAAAAACCAAAAGCCACCACCGCCATCATGATAAAACCCAGACCTATGTACCCCCTAAAGAGCATTTCAACCATTTAACCCACAAATGTTGTGCAAGAGATTCTGCATGCCTGCTTGGTAAAATGGGAGATGCTTAAATGGGACAGAAAAAGAAGCAGAATTATGAAGGGGAGGGGGGGGATACTCACTCAGGATAACTTGAACTGAAAGGATAAAAAAAAAAGATGGAATGACTTTAATTTGTTCTCTACCAAATATTTTCCCCTGATCATTTATAAAACAGATTTTATTTCACTAAATACAGTTATTGAGACTACTGTCTCACTCTTTCATAATTGCACTATAGTGTAATGATTCATAAAGTGCAAACTAGCACTTTATGAATCATTTGATGGTGTAGTACCCTGATGAAAGCCAAAGCTGGATTAACAGAATCCATATAATGAAAAAACAGCATTAAAGGGATGTTTTAATCATTATGAAAAAGTATTTCCTTGTTTGGATACTTTGTATTTGGGTGTCTTAAAGCACTACAATTTAAAATGCGAAAATCTGTTAAAAAACGGTCTGCATAATATGTCACATGTATATCAGCATCAAATGATTGTTAGCATTTAGATTCCTAGAGTAATAAATGTAATAAATGCTAAGCATCCCTACAGAGTATAATGTTACATGTTGCTGCTTGATGCTGTTGCACACAAAATACCGTAAATTCTCTAATATAGGCCCGGGCCTTTATTTCACTCAAGTGCATCGCGGTCCAGGCCTTTATTGGATAGAGGCCAGAATTAGAGACAGACCTCTATTGCTATTTGAGCAAAACAGACTACCAGTGGAATGAATAAAAATGAGATTTTGTGTCTATTTGAACCTATAAAACACTAGGTTCATTTATTGAAAAAGTACAGTTACCATGTCTCGCTTGGTTTGAAGTAAAAAAAAAAAAAAAAAATCCTCCAATTCTGTTTAATTCTCCTCCTCAGTTTCCTCCTCCTCTTCATCTCTCCCTTTAATCTCCTCATCACTCGCGCTCCTCCTCATGTTGTGCTGCGTGTCTGTTCTCTTCCTCGCGCAGACGGGCAGCAGTCGGCCTGTCGTCCAGCTGCGCAGGGCTGTGGTACTTGTATGTTACTTACTACCACAAGTATAATGTTGAGGTATGCCCAGAAAAAACGTTTATAGCCCCGGCCTGTATTAGAGACCGGCCATTATTTACCTCCTCTGACAGCGAGACCGGCCATTATTAGAGACCCGGCCGCTATTGGAATACAGCCCAATATTAGAGAATTTACGGTATTATAGTTCTTCGAGTAGATATATTCGGTCAACAACTGAATTTTATTTTCCTTTTTTTTTTCTTATTTGCTGACAGCCAATCAGAACTGGTCAATAAAATTTGGCAGATTCGAGGTTCTGACAGATTTTTTGAGGGCATAATTTCAGTAAGAGATGGAATGAGGAAAATAGTGAACTACTGAAACTGTTTTCACTTCAACATTAAACAATACGGTACAGCCCCTGAAGAGAAAAATCAGATTTCTAGACTGCACCATTTAAATAAATCCCACCTCTCATCTTTATTCCCTCTCAAATTTACCTCAGAATCATGTTCTTCTTACTAAACCTTGGGAGTATCTTAAAGATAAATAAAACAAAATAAATCCACACTCCCCCAACAGTGTGTGAATACACACCAGGCTGGTTGTTGAAGTCCAGGATGCGGTGGTGTGACTGCAGGAGGTCTGGGTTCGACGAAGACAGGTTTCCACTGACCGGCAGAGCTGGTGGGATCTGTTTGGACGGCTTCATGCCCACTATGCTGTCATCCTGTGATTGCCCTACACAAACGTCGCTATGGAAACAAGAAGAACAGAAGGAAGTGGGTGGAAGAGCACTTCAGTCAACAAGCAGAGGGCGGCGGATGAAAACTGATGCTTTGTTTAATGTATTTAGAGTAAAAACATTCTTTGCTTGATCATTCTGACAATGTTGGCTGATCGCAAAGATCTGATCCAACTGTTGGCAGAGATCAGCTGAATCGATTTTCTTACTTGTATGGTTTGGGGGGCAGGATGCTGGTGAGAGTCTTGTCAAAGATCTTTTTCAGCTTGTTTCGCCCTCCGACCGTGTTGCTCTTGCCCTTTTTGCTGGCTTTCTCCAGGCCCATGACCTGCTCCACGTCCACAGCCAGGTCTGGTATGGAGTAACGACTCGCCTTTTTAATGTCCCCAATCTTTGGTAGGTGAGGAGCCCCGTTCTTCCTGTCGTGTTCCTCGTCCACATCCAGGTCGTGGTCATGTTCGGGTCGCGTTAGCAGCTCCTTAAAGACTGAACAGAAGAGAACAAGGTAAAAAGAAGAGCTCAGGTTTAAGTGGAAGAGCTAAAATTATAGCTATATATATAGATAAAACAAACTTACCTAAAAGATTTGTTTTCACAGTAATTGATAAGTGGGTGTTGTTCTTTAAAATCTCGTTGGCTTTACTGAACTGGACAGTCTCAAAATTCTGCCCATTTACCTCCAAGATCTGGAAAAAAATAAGAGAAAAAATCATTTTGAACCATTAAGGCATTCCAGTTACCATAAAATAAAGTTTTGGTTTTTATTGAGGTTAAAAACTTATTTTCCAATAGAGTACTGACAAAGATAGCCACAAAGTAAAAAGAGGCAAACAACTATGAAAAACATTAAAAGACAAAAGTAAAGAAAAACATGCAAATAAATCTAAATTAAATCTTTCTTAATCTAAGCCCGATCAGTTCCAACCAGTGAAAGAACTACTTAGATTTTAACTGAAATTGTGCACTTAAGAAGATGAGGCCAATATATTTTTTTCAGTAACCAACAGTCCTGGTGAATCAGGATAAAACCAAAGCACTCATATGTGATAAAGCTCTTCATGTCCATAGTTAAGTGCAAAGGGGAACCTGTGATGCTGTGGGCCGGTGTACTGTCAGATGAGCATACCCCGTCAGTCCAGCATACCCATAGTCAATATGCATGCGCAAGACGTTTGTTTATCCCCTAAATTTTTTACGAAAAATAGATTTTAAACTACCTTGATGGGCATGTATTCCTTTATTCATGTACAAACTTTAAAAACAACAAAAAGTGAATAATTAAGCAGTTTTTTTTTATACATGACTAAAGGGATACAAGCCCGTTGAAGTATTTTATAGTGTATTTTTTGTACAAAACTAAAGTGATAAACTAAAGCAATAAACGGGGATAAACTAAAGGGATAAACAGGTATTGACTATGGGTATGCTGGTCTGACCGGGTATGCTCGTCTGACAGAACATCGGCATTCTTTTAAAAACCTAAGTGACAAAATTCAACCATATTCAATGAACATCTCAGTTCCTACACTGAAAGCCTATAGTCAGTCAGGAGAGCTGAAAATAAGAAATAAGTTCTCTACAGAAGCTAATAAATTTAAAGGAGAGACATAATAAGCCTTTTATCGTATGTTTGTCTTTGTAGAAGATAAAATAAACAAAACAAATAAATGGGGTTTGGGTCCAAAACCATTCTTAAAATCAGATATGACCCCCCTTAAAAAATTGTAAATAAGCTCTTACAAACCTTTAGCCTGCATTCAAAAAACATGAACCCAACGCATTTCAGAACCACCTCCGCTGGTTATAAGTTTATGACCAGAGGAAGTGGTTGTGAAATGTATTATGAGTGCTTAACTTTTCTAACAACCTCTTAAAAGATTAACTAATATCACAGCTCTACAAAGTTAGAGATAATACAAACAGATATCTCTAATGTCTAATTTTAGCCAATGAAAGTAAGGACAAACGTTTTAAATGTTTTTTTTTTTGGTTGTGCTCACTGGAACCTTTGCGTTTCCTGCTGGATGGACCAGAAATGGTTAAACCTCTTCTAATTTAAAGATGTAGAAGAGAAGCTCAGACAGCACCAGGGAATCCGGCAGGTTCTGGGACATTGTGCAAAGAATAAAGAATAGGCAAAGGTTTCTGTCTCCATTTGCTACAATATGTCATTGTGGAGGTGTGCAAGTGAAAATCATTTAGCCAGCTGTAAGGTGCATGCAGCAGGTCAGGGGTCTAAATGAACCAACCTAAAGGTGCTAGATCCCTTACTTAGCAGCATCTCATGATCCTTAGCTTCCAAGAAGGTCAGCGTCTCTGCTTATTTTTGGGGGAAACAGCTGCAGAGGATGTTGGGTGTCAGGAGGGCTTAACTCCTGCCCAGACACTCGCAAGATGGTTTCAAGGATTAAGAGTGTTGGCTTAGAGCTCAGAGACTACTGAGTGTGAAACTGGTTGGGAGAAAGTCCATACAGGGCGCCTGCAGCTACCGGAAAGTTCAATTTTATACTCCTTAAAGTGAATCCTTTCAATGCTAGTTAGGTCATAATGCGAAACCAATTTCACAACAAAAATGAGTTTCAACAGGAAAAAAAAGACCCATTTGACTGTTTGTCTGTTGGTCTGACTTATTTCATTCTCTTTATTTTAAAGAGAATGAAATAATTTTTCTGTGGGGAATGACAGAGGGTTAAAGCCAGAAAAAATTCAAACCAAAACAGAACATCATGCTTCAACCCTTCCCCAATGTCTGTTTGCATCAAAGTTACCTGATCTCCACGCTTGAGTCCGGCCTCGGCTGCCTTGCTCCCGGGCTCCACGGCATCGATGAAGATGCAGAAACCTTTCTCTTGTCCTCCAAGGAGGGTGAACGCTAGAGGAGAGTCTCTAGATGGCTTGGTGAGCGTCACCAGCCGTGGCTTGGCTTTAGCAGCGCACGCTATATTTAACAGTCTGAGGTGCCCGCACATTTTCTGGAAAGAAAAAGAAAGATATATTTAAGATTGAATTGGTATCGAAATGATATTTCTCTTTTTGTTTTGTGTATTTGTCGAAGCACTGGTCTGATGAGGAACGTACTTCCTTCTCTAGATTGCTCTCAAACTCCTCCAAGAAGTGAGTCATGGCAGGGTCTCCCTCGAAGTCATTGAAATGATTGTTTACCCACAGCAAGACCACCCGTGTAACCTGAGAAAAACACATGATCAGCACATGTACGATAATATTACCTGACCTCAGAGACCAAACCGGAAACAACTTCAGGCACATTTTAATATCATCTGTTTTAAAAGTCTAAGTTCTAATAAAAGTTTTTTTTTTTTTTCTCCAAGTCACCATTCTGAGAGTAATGAATCTCTAACATATCTTTAACCTGTTAAATTAAAATATGAAAAGAAATGAACATTTCTATAATACTCTAATTTGTCAAAATGGTTTTGAACAGGTTTTTGACAAGTTTCATGAAATTCATTCCCCTGAATGCAGCATAAAGTCTGGTAATAATCAAATATTAAGAAAAAGATTTATAAATCCATCATCTCAATCAAGATTATCAGCCAATCCTGTAGCAGATTAGGACTCTTCTGCTCTGCTGCGTACCTTATCCCTGAGACTTGGGTCGTGAAACCACTCCAGGAGCTTTTTTCCCACGACCATGGGGCTGGACAGGAAAGTCCTGTAGGTCAACAGGAAGTCCTCAATGTAGGTAGGGTCCACTACTGAGTGCTCCTCCACCAGATGCATGGTGAGACGTTCAGGTGTGCCCTGATGATGGAGAAGAGAGACGTAAGTTTAGAAGTTGATCATGCAAAATTAGGATAAAAGCAAAGCACCTGTCGATGTGTTACCTTGATGACAATATGTCCTTTCCTGGTGCCTGTACGGTCCAGTTCCCGGTGTTCCTTCACCATAACGATCTCCCCTTCCTCCTCCACCTTCTGCATGTTCTTCTCAACCTGGTTGAGGATGCAGCAGTAGTCCTGCTGGGCTATACATACAAACTGGAAGAGATACAAAAACAATATTTCTCTTTAGGACACCTTCAAAATGCTACTTTGGGGAAAAGGGAACAAAAATGTAAATTTTTCAGAATGAGCTCAGCCAATGATTAAAAAAACCATGTAGGTGAAACACCATTCAGCTGAGTTGCACCAACTAGTCGACCTTAATAATCAAATGTTTGTTTTTCCATGTTGATTTTATATCTACTAGTCAGAATTACATGATTTAAAGCAAAAAAAACTGAATCTTCCAAAAGGACAAAAGGCAAGAAGCTGAGAGGAAGATGTCAAAAAGCTTGAAATGTGTCAATGATATCTAAAGCATTGTACTGAAGAGGTTCTGCAAACCTGGGTAAAGACCTTTAAACTAATGTATGGCCTGTTACATTCTGGCTCTCCATCTGACTGTCAACATGATCAGCATCACTCTGCGAGTTAAACAACCTGACAGTCAGAGAAGCAGCCTGCTGCCCATCAGGAGGAACAGGTGGGTGAGCTGCTGCTACTGCTGTAGGAACTTCTTACACTTTCTCAGTTATATTTCCGTAACTAAAAAATATATATACTTCTAGGAGTAACTTTAGAGCATTTAGCAGCCATGCCGTGAGCGAATACACTGCCGCTCCTTCCTTTTGCTATCCATTGCTAATTTTCTGTTCGTTTTTTTCTAACATTTAAACTTTTCTAACATCTGTTATCATTGTGTCAATTTTATTTTTATTATTATCATGTAAATCAAGGAAGAAAATGCAATAGTGGCTTAAAAAAAAATGAACAAATAAATAAAGAAATCATCGCCTCTAAAAAACGAGCAGCAGATATCTGGGATTGGCTAGATTAATGTCAATAAAACTTGCATCAGTCGAACAGACTTCATATTTTTACTCAAGGTTTGTGTAATTTTTACTCAACTGTTTCTTTCACCTGAAATTGTTATGATCTAACTATGTAACATATTTTTTATCTTATTTTATGAAATATTAGAACTTGCAACAAGTATAACTTCACATTCGTTGTAGCTTTGCATCATCTTTAAATGTTAAATCAGTTATGATCAGTTTTGTACCTATGTAGCCTTTTTTGTTGAGTAAATCCTTAAATGGCTACTTTACGCTTTTACTTTAGTAAAAACATGATGTAGTAGTGCTACTCTGACTATAGTAACCAGTCCCAGTCAACTCAACTTTTATTGTGTTGAACTTCCCATTAAAAAAAATATAAAGTCATGCGGCCCTTAGTTGGCTGCATTATCTCTCCTGACAGATGATGCAAATAGTGCGAAGCTGTGATTTGCAGGAGGCGGCTCATTCACCTGAAAATGCCTGTGCCTCACATATTAAAGGCTGCTACTGCCCTGGGCACCTTCCTCTGTGGTGAGTGCAAACATTTCAGCACAAGTGGGGCACAGTGGGATTTAATAATATAAGATGACAGGGCTCCTGCCAGGTTTTGCACACTGAAATGCAAAGGAAATGGACCTGTTCATGCTAGCGGAGTGTGACAGATCAAGTCAAATTAAGGTTCCAACCTGGCAGTCGTCCACCTTGGTCCTCATGACACCTTTCATAAATTCCTTCTCCATGGTTGGAGACACACCGAAACTGTTTCCCATGCACAGCATCTCTGTCCGGCCGTCAGGGTAGGTCACCTCCACAGAGCCGTTTAAGATCACCGACCATGAGTCCAGCTGCAGCAATAGAACGGCAACAGAGAATTTGTTAGTCAAAAGATTAAAACATTTAGTCAGATCTGGATTTCAGAATATGCATAAAATTGTTTCAGAACGTCGAGTTCTAATTTAAAAATACAAAAAGGTCAATGAAGGAATACATGTTCATTTACTGGACCTGGCATAACAAAAGGGTCTGAAGGGAGACTTTACCTTTCCAGAAAACTGCATGGAGACCATGCCCAGAACCAAAAGAAGAGGACATATCCATGCAGCTGTAGCTGCCCCCTTTACTGCATATCTATTATTCCTAAAACTTCCTTCTTATTCTCAAACACAAGGTTTTAAATGAATCTAGATTTAAATCTTCAACCACTGCAATCATCTACTGAAAAATTCCTTAAATTGTTGCCTGCCTATTACACACCAACTGTACAGGGTTAATAAAAGTATAAATTCAAGTCCTGCTTATTTTCTGATACTATTTTATTCTTTAGCACTGTGTGAAACAGCCTGAGGTACAGTTCATCCAAGAAGTGAAGCGCTGCTCTTCATCCACATTTAGTTATGCTACAGCCATATTTAAAACAGTATTAAATTAACTTAATTCCTTAAGATTCTACAAACATTACCCTGCTATGACAATGTGAAAATAAGTGTTGTTTTTTTTATTTTTGTAAAATTATAAGAAAATAAATGAAATAAAGAAATGCTCTGAATACTGTCTGGATGCAATGTATCTTCAGATAAATAGATATGTTGTATAAATGAGCTTATATTCAACATCAAGTGGTACATGCTTTGATATAAAACAGCTGGTGTCCCTTAATGAGTCAAAGCTATTCATCAAAAACAAAACAGACAAATGGATGCTTTCTTACTCCCCTCTGTGGGAAGAAAATGGTGAGAGGTCATCTTGATTAAGTGTTGTTGCAGCAGCAATCACGGGCAGGTTTTAAATCAACAAATATAGTTTTTATAGCAAAGTACAGCTTTTTGCAAAAAAATCCCCTCAAAATCTGACATCATGCAGGGTGACATAGAGGGATAAAATGCTTAATGAAGCTGGAGTGCATGAAAGCATCCATTTACCGCCGAGTCACAGCCTCTGAGACACATTCATCTTTCTTTTGTTCAAGGGAAAATAAGTAAAATGTCTTCTTTAAACTGACTGTGTCCTGAGAGTCTAGCTTTGGGTGCCTTTGGGCTCCTAGAATGACCCAGAGATAAGCTACTTTAGGCATTCAGGGTTAATAGAGCAGAAAAAACACATTCAGTTGAAGAACAAAGGTTTGCTGGTGTGTAGAGGTGAGACATCCCAGAGAAACAGGCACATATATATAAATAAAGAAAAGATAAGGCAAGGCATTACAAAAACATAAACACTGACCTCCTCTCCATCATTGAGGACGATGGTGCCAGCTCTCTCCACCACGGCGAACACCATGACAGCGCAGAGTTCCCTCCTCACCGACATGGTCATGTTGGCAAAAGCTGGCAGTTGATGCATGAACTCCAGTAATTGCTCTGGAAAGAGGTACAAAGAGAGAGACGATGCGGGCATTCAGTGAAACCCATCTAACACTGTAAGAGGGGGGCACTCCAACAGAGCAACCGTTCTGGGCAAAGCTCAGAGGAAAATATCAATTCTATTGATATCAACCTGTGAAGAAAGCCAGGAATACTGGCTGACGAAACACACTGTGACCTCTGAGAGTTAAAGGGGCTGTTGGACAAACTGAGGCCTTACTCATCATTCTGTCAAAGTGGATTAAAATCAGACCTCTTCAGAAGAACTGAACCAAAGTGATGTCTTAACGTTTGACCCAGCCATCCAACCATGCAAACAGGTGCAGAGCATTAGGATTGTTTTCAATACTTGTGAATAAAATCTAAGCGCAGCAATCTGGGTATAAATCTGTGCTCTAATTACTGGCGTTATGATAGCACGTCTGGGTTTTTCAAAGCATAATCCAGTGAAGTGATAGTCAATGAAGAGAGAGCCTCCAGAAAACATTCAGCCTTTGTCCTGAGCAGCTACAGTCTAGTGCACCGGATGACCTGGGTTTGGCATGGCAACAGCATCGTGTGTGAAGCTGCGAGATCTCTAAAAGTTTAATGCGCTGGGAGAGGTGAGGCGAGAGGATGTGCGGGAGTGACCTAGAAAAGCCTCCGGGCAGGGGGAGGGGGGGTCCTGAAGGGAGATCAGCGACTGGAGGGGGAAGGGCTGGCACTCGCTCATTCTCTCTCTGCATCCAATGCATCATCCTCACCCAAAGTCCACATCAGCTGCTAAGCCTCAGCTCTGTGTCCTTTTTTTTTATTTTTTTTAACACGCCTATCATCAGAGCTGGAGTTGAGTCATAGCTTTAAGGGATATGATATGAAAAGCCTGATGTGGCTTTGAGAATTACTCGAAAGCCAACATCACAGACATCAGCGCTGTGGATATTTACTGTGGCTCATTTGAATAACAGACGAATCAGAGGTTTTTATTACAAATGAGAAACAGAGCATAATCCTAAAACAGGAAACAATGCGTCTAACGTTTTTGAGGATATAACACATTTTTTAAAGCCCATCCCTGGCTGCTCACCAATGTCATCGTCCGTTCTGTCCATGGGATCCTTCTCCAGGCAGTCCCGGACGATGTCCCGGCTCATGAGTGGGTCGGAGGCTCGCTCGATGTCCTCCTCATCATCGTCCTCCTCAGAGTCCACCGCAGTCTCCGGCAGGCCGCTGAGGTCCATGTCTCCTGGCTCGTTTTCTGTGGCCTGATGGGAGCAAACACATCAGGGATGAGTGTCTGTGGGAGGAGGTCTGCGCTGAGGGACGCAACAACCCCATCCAGCATCCACAGCTCAAAGAAAACTTTCCTCCAAAGTGCTGAGGTAACCAGAGGACTCCTGCACCTCCTTCACTTTGTTGCTTGCCTTAGAAACACGATTCATGACTGGAAGCTTCACTGCATACATGCTGAAACCAACGCCCTCTACGATCATAGGCAACCAGCCCCTTTTTAACACCAAACAAACTCAAATTATACAGATTCAATCCATCTTGTGACATAAAGCATTAAATACAGAATGAAAACATGGATATCAAACAGGCTGCAAGCTCATTAAATCCCAACTTTCTTCTTCCCTCGCCTCTCGGCAGAACTCCACAGCCTGCGGTTCTTTGAAAGTGTTAGATAAAACAGGAGCTCAGCCAACTGAGATGAGAGGATAATGTAATACAGCTACTTGAGCTGCAATCAAAGTTCTTCTCCTCCAATCAACAGGACCACGCACACAACAGGAAACGTTCAGGCAGAACAGCACAAAAACAATAAAAAAAAAAAAATAGTTTTTTCATGCATCCAAAAGAGAAATATATTCTCACCACAAAATGTTGTCCAGCTTTTAGATTTTTGATAGAAAAAAGAGAACAGGTTTCTGGAGCAAACTGTCTGCAAAACCTCAGAGCCAGACGCATCCTCGCCTCCCAGACCGCCGCTCTGCTTTTCATTTTTTTATGTTCTGAGCCTCACTCAGATGCCCTGTGTCATATCTCCTCAAATGCCATGTGGAAAAGACTCATTAATGATTCAGCATCTGACTGGTGGGCGGATCTAAATCAGGGTTGTAATCAGGTGATGAGGGATGTGGGATCATAAAACAGCCTAAATAGCTGTAACGCCTCATAAGGTTTGCTAGTTTGAAAAAAACAGCCATTAAAATGCATTTGCCATATTTATAAAGACCATAATAGAATTGGGGAATCCTTTTTGATTTGTTTTCAGAGGCACATCAAGCGTTTATCAAAAACCTATAAACCTGGAGTGAGCCTTAGGAGTTAGTGGGCAAGTCAGATGTTGTGAATATTTCATGTAGGCTATTCTTGGATCAATGCTTTCAAAGGACCAATATCATGATTTATTAACACCCAAACAGTCCGCCATGCTGGCAGTGACGCACTGATGATGTTCCTCCTCCATCCAACTGAGGAGTCTGGATTTTACAGCAGCACAGAGGCCTTGTTAGAGCTCCTGTCGATAATATGTAGCAGTCTGCTCAGCAACTGTCATTGTTACCACAGCATCAGCAAAATGAGAAAACATGAATAAATAAAAGGATTTCTAAAATCTCTACGAAGACAACTAATGGGTTTATTATTTGAGAAAATCACCAAAATTACATTATACACCTGATGGTTGAAGAAATCTAAATCATGTTATAATAAGCATTACTGACTTAAATATGTAATGATGTGAAGAGAAGTATTCAGAGTTATGAAGAAACTTTATGTTTTAGGTAATCACAAAGCAAACTAATTTAAATAAATAAGAATTCTACACATTTTTCTTATCTAAACAGCATCAAGGCAGAAAAAAGTCTCTCCCAAGACTGGAACAAGCAGAGAGGGACCACCTGAGCACAGCGCTCATTCCCCTTCACTGCCCCTCCTCAATGCAGACTCCTCTATGATCCAGTCTGTTTGAACCTAATATACTAGTGTTTGTAATATAAAAGGTTTAAAAACAATAAAAGATAAATAAAGCCCAAAACATCAAACATGTTTCTACCATATTCCATTTTACTATTTTAATTTCTTGTGGGGAAGAAATAAAAATGGCACCTCAAAGTTTATAGCATTTACTTTTTTTCTAAATATTTTGAATTTAGTAAAAAAAATCTTGTAAAAAATATGTGTGATATTTTTTAGGATCCTAACGTTTAATTTAAGTTGTATAAATAAGAATATGTTTAAAACATCTAACTAGATGACAGTAGGTGTAGTCTCCCACTAAGTAATTTCTGACAATAAAGCAACTAATATAAGAGGAACTAATCAGTGGGGCTCCTAGAACATCCCATTGAACAGAGTTAATGACCAATGATCCTATTAGTGCTTGAACAAAACAGAGAGAAAGAATAAAAATTAAGGAAACTGAAGAACGGTGTTAGACAGACTGACAAAACGTTTTCAGCACAAATCTTTCATGGAGGAAGAAGGAAACCAACAACAGAACAGCGTTTGTGACTGTGAGAGACAAAATCCAGAAGCCATCACAAAGCTGTGAGCAGATGGCACTGAGACCCGGATCAGACCTGACAGTAAAGCCTGTTTAACCCACTGCAGACATCCACAACAAGGCCTGATATACACACACACACACACACACACACACACACACGGCACCATGTGATACTGTACAGACACACACAGTCATACAGCTGTATTCTTATAACTAGAACCAAAACAGGCAGATCCAAACCAGCAAGAGGTCTGGGCCAAACCAAGAGACTGGGACTGAGCACAGTCCCAAGAACACTGACAAACAAACAGGAACAGGAACACAGCAGGCGGCGGCTTTATGGTCCAATGGGGTGGCTGTGTGGCTTTAAGAGGATTAGTTACAGGTTTTGGGGTAAATCTATAGTCATGACATTTGGTGAATGTGTGTTTCTCTGAGCTGAATTATATTCCTATTTTACTTTAATTTATCTGGATTCATGTGACTCCCAAACATCAAAAGGGGATTTTTTTTTTTTTTAGGTTAGCAAGAGATTTTAGTCACAGATTAGCATAAAGTTATATCATAAAAGGTGCCATCTCTCCAGGACTCCTTTGCTTTTGCCTTCAAGTGATGAAAAGGCAGAGATGGAGGCAGGATGTGGCCTGGACCACCTGCTCGGCAGCATCCAGGCTTGCTGCTCCTCCCCTGCAGAGCAGTGACGGTCTACTGACTGTGTTCTGTAGCTTTTCCAGGAGCAAAACCTTTAAAGTATGGTGGAAAAATGCCCTGCTTAAATAGGTTATTTGGAATCCACACTGGAGCGGCTCCCCACAGGAAGGAGGTTTTCCAATTTGCTGGAAACCCGACTGATCCTTCTTCCTTTTATGATCATATTAAAGGTTTCTTTTATCTAATCCGGATCACTCACAATCAGGAATAAATAATAAATATAGTAAAGCATTATCCCAACCCAACGGCAAACTAGTGGACCAGCTTTACTATCCAGGCCTGGCTGGGGATCCAGAGCCGGCGAGTGGAGGCCTTACCTGATAAATGTCTGACAGGCTGCTGCTTCCAGAGTCACTGGTGATACTACATCCTGAGTGGCTGGAGGAGACGTGGGTCACCTGTGGGTGTAAGCCGTCGGCCAGGTGCAGTCTGCTGAAGTCTGCAGGGAGCTGCACACACACACATACATACACAACATACACACAGATGGTCAGTATCAGTCAGCCCAGCAGCCACCTCTGGTCACCCACTCTAACATGCTCGCTGACTGCCACACATTTGGACACACTTAGCATGGTTTTGTCTTTGGATGTGAAGGAACAGTAAAGAAAAATATAATAAAAATAAGGAAAATATTTTTTTGTCTAAATTTAAGGGAAAAGCTGAATTTTTACGAGGGAAGTTGCTTCTGACCGGCCGGTTGCTTTTTGCTAATCATGGGTCTGGTATTTTCGGCACAGTAGAAGTACATATTCAAATTTTGACTTTTGTTTTTTTTTATAAAGACCATAAATAAAACCCAGTTATTCTAGCATTTATTTGTCAAAAATAAAAGAAACACACTGCAGCAGAGCAAAATTTCTTTTAAAAAGCTCTAATTTACATTAAATATGCTATCATAACAGAAGAAGCACCAAAAAGAAACTAAATCTCGTCTTCTTCTTAGTTTAACAGCTTAAAAGAAGAAGATGATCTGTTTTGATATGCATAAAGATGTCAATGTAAAAGCTCACTAAACCTGCTATTATCTAGAGCTAAAGTGGGAGCAAATCTGACAAAATAAACTCTCCAGGGGCTCAAGTCTTTGAACAAAATACCCATCACAGTGTCAAAATGCAAACTGAAAGTAATCAGTATTTTGTTTAGTCATAAAACGATGTCTCAAGTGCAGGGAGAAAACAAACGTTCATGTGTAAAAAGGAAAATCCTGAATAAATGCCTCATAAGGACTAAAATAAACAAACTGGAGGCAGTAATTGGTGGGGTGGGGGCTCTGAGGAAATGATGCTGTACGAAGTAGTAGCTCTAATTAAAAATACTATAAATGGGCCAACCAAGTTCTCTATGGGGATAAGGCTGAAATTTTAACTATGACAGAATACCCCAACAGGAAACGCTACAGAAACAGAGGAACAGATCAAACATGTACATCTGCTTAATTTGGAATCTGCTCGGCTATGTTGATGTGTTTATAAGCCAACATCCAGATAGTTTAGTGATTTATTTAAGGATCTGATGCACATAAATATCCTCCAGCTCTAAATATAACTACATATCTTCAATTCAATTTGATAAATATATCAATTATTCACATACTGATGATTTTTTTTATGCCACTGATTCACCCCAACATTGCGTAAGGGACATACTGGTAAACTGGTTTCTATTCTGTCCTTGAAATATAAACTTTCATCAGTTAGAGGCGTTAACACCTCTTTGTTTTTATTTACAACATGTGTGCAGTGAATTAATCACATCTGATTAGAAAGTGGAAGGAATGGGTAAATACTTTAATCCAGCAGGAGAAACTGGTTCATGGTGTCTGTGCATGTGAATATTTTATACTCCATATGTTTTATTCACCATATATATCTATTTGATACTTGGAAGAGGGAAACATCTCCTTCGAGTCCCTTTTAGCTTCACTTTTGGCTGTGGAACATCATTAATATTAGATATTCATATCCAAAAAACTTAAATTGGTCCGATTTAATGAGCTAACTTTGGTTGTCAGGAAGCAGGAAAGTTTGAGCCAAAACTAAACATCTGGAAAACATGTGGTTTAGTGTTTTTTTTCTAAGCTGTTTGAGTTGAGAGGCTTTGAATTCTGTTTCCCTAGATATGAAAACAAGCCAATATTTCATACAAGCTGTTTAAAAAGGACCACGGCTGAGACTCAAATGAAAGAAACACTGTTCAGTTTCTGATTGCATACTTTAATTATGGCTTCGTTATAGGGTTTGGGCATGGAGGCAAAACAGAAGACTAGTTTTGCTAAAGGGTAGCTGAAGTCTGCCAACAAAGAGTCACAGAATAGCTAAAGACTATGAAAGAGTTGCTTTACCCAAATGAATCAGAAGGCAATTTATTCCTGAACTGTCTTGAGGGGAAAAGTGGGAAAAAAATTAGATGTATCAATTCACAAAGTGCCTTTCTGTGTCAGCGACAAGAGACTGGGAGCCAGACAGAGGAGCTCTTGCAGCACTGAGGTGTGATGTGATTACAGTGTGTCAAAGATTTCCATCACGTTTAATTATCTGGCTGGCTGCACTAACCAAAATGGTGGACCGGAGGACCCAATCAGACCCTAATACCCGGCGGGCTTCCTCTCCCATCACCGTGCCTGGTGGACGGCAATGCGAATGCCTCCAGCTGAATTCCACGTTATTTTCATTGGCTAGACAATATGAGTGGTGAACTTTTTGTAGTTTCACCATTACTTAGTGATAGTGTATGTTACACGCTGCAGTTCCTCAGAGCGCTTCAATCTAGAATTAGGTGTTGATGCACAAACATCAACTCAACAGGGATTTTGGTTTTTACACTGGAAACTGATATATTTGTATTACAAATTCATTTTAAGGGTTGTCGTAGGTCAAAGATGCTCCATTCTATATTGATCATACTTTTAACAAACCAAACTTTTTTTTCCCTACTTGCTTTGATTCTGTTTTATTTTCCTATATTTTAATCATGTAAAGCACTTTGCATTGTCTTTGTACTGAATTGTGCTATATAAATAAATTTTCTATTTAAGCCTTGCCTAAATAAAAACACATTGTTTTGACGATATTAAAATATTAGATTGTATATATACATATATTTTAAAGCTTTTAAAAGGCATGTGAGGGTTTTAGTTTTTTTAACATATAATTCTCTTAACAGGCATATAATCGGATCTTCAATGAGATTATATTAGCACTTCCTATAGAGTCCCTCAGAGATCTAGATCTACATAGATCTAGCCCAGCTTTACTGTTCCTAATTACATAGATTATCAAAAATATGCTGCTTCAGCTTAAGTTTTTGCTGCTTCCAGCATGACTTAACATAATGGGCAAATCAGTTTACTTCCATTAACGTAGGTGTAATTAAAGATGATCTTTTTGTTGTTTTTCTCCTTGTTTATGCCACTAAAAACACTGCTAGATAGACTTTGCAGCAACCTTTAACTTTACCCTATTTTGACACCAGTTAGAGAGGCGTGTGAGGAACAAAGTGAGGGCAGGGGAGACGGAGAAAGCATATGGATAATAAACAAGTAATCCTTTCTCTCCACTCATTTAGGTCATCCGTCTGTTGGTCAATAAGCCGATGTCCATTCACTCCATGAGAATGTTGACCTCTGTGGCCCAATGGAATGCAAGAGATTGGGTCAAACTGCATGCCAGTGAAACAAGGACAGGGTAATTAAGCTTGTCCAATGAGTGTAGAATGATCAGGCCAAACATCTACTCTGTGTTGTGAGCTTCAACTAATTTAAAAATCCATACTTTAATTCTCAAGTTAGGACACAATAAAGATACAATAAACATGAACTACATCATGAATTTCTAAAGCCTCTCTGGCATCTGATCTGTTTCTCTGGACTCTTCTGCTCCAAATTCAACACCCTCTTAAAAAACAAATGAGCTCTGCAGAACTGGGGGCTGAAAATACGTCCAATCAGCAGTCACGGGGGGATTATGCATTGCTCTAAGGCCCAAGCCACAACTCTCAGTTCTGCTTACATGTGAGCAGATGTGCTGCTCCTTAAATTACATTACAGACCTAATGACCTAGATTGCTGGGTGGAAGCACTGGCTTCCTCTCAATCTCTTCACTGTATGCAGCCAGTGAATCTGTCCTGTTAGACTCCATCACCATTCCTGAGGTGAATCCCTCTAACTAAGAGGAGGAAAAAAAATTCTCTAATTGAGATTTAGATGTCTAAGAAAAAAAAAATTATAATTTTATTTATGTAGCTGGGTTGAATCAAGGTCAATCACTGTTGTTTGAATTGCTTAAATCTACTATTCTGTTATTTAAATTGTAGACTAGCTAAGAAATGCCTTTCTGGCCCCTGTTCAGAGGTTAACTAAGAGCATACACATTCCCTAACTAAAGCGGCAGCTTCTCACTTTCTTGAGCCTTACAGATCAGGAGATTAAAATCCCTTTGGCAGGGTTTCTGATTAAATAGGTCTGATATGCTCTCTGGGCTTTCCTATCACCAGCTACATCTCCATTAGTCAGGCCTGCACGAGTCAAGTCGCACAGTTTGACGAAAGGAAATTACCTTTAACGAAGAAAAACATTAAACATGCAACAAGTTGTAAAATGTCTCTCAAATTCTTTGGCTTTGAATTTAGGAGCTTTAGTGCATGTGCCACAAATCAGTAAATATCGTAGATCGATTTAAAAAAATGTTTGGACATCGGAAAGGAAAAACTGAATGGATGAAACAGAAACAAAATAGTTCATCTTTACCAATCGTTCAATGTTCCAAACAATGACAACAGTCTTCGGTGTAGAAGATGTTACAAAAGGAAGGAGACTCAAATTGCTAAAGGACTTTCAGGCTAAAACAAGGGATGGTTGACGATCAGCAGATAACGGCTTACTGAAGTTATCTCAACACTTTCATTCTTCCATAGAGTCTGATTGTTTTTGCTAGGAATTATACCAACTTAGGAAAAAAAACTAAATTAATGGGAAATCTTGCAGTTAAAGTAAACTTATACCAACTATAAAGGTCCACTGTAAACAATACTCCATGTACAAATTTAATCAGTAACATAAATGCCGAGGAAAGGTTTGAATATCTAATCTGTAATCGATCTGTGTTTGTTTTGAAATAGGTGAAACAATAAAACTAAGGTTTCCTAAGGGAAGCTGCATAGTCTCAATAAATTAATTATTTGAATATCTAATGAATAAGAGCTCTGTTGTCCTATAGTTTAGGTTGGACAAAGATGTGATATATTTTGTTGTAAAAAAAAAAAAAAAAAAAAAAAAACAATCCAAAAAAAGGTGATCTACCTTTTCATTTGATTTATAAAGAAAAAGGGGACTTCTGAACAGACTACAGTTAGAATCAGGACTTTTTAAAGCTTTATGAAAAAGGTGTGCATTATTAGAATTTTTTTCTATTTACTCAATTTAAGCAGAATGAATAACTTGATATTTAT